GTCCTCTCCAGGCATCCCCACACATGGCATACACTGACACACAACATGCGCATAAATAAAAATAAAAACATTTTAATAATAAGGAAATAAATGTATATAAGAATGACAAATTTAAAAAAGAGTTGGCTTCTGAAGATTGATAGCAGAGGTTCTTTTCTGGCCTCCACAGGTGCTTGCAAACAAGAAGGGAGGAACACTTGTAATTATTAACCAGAGGCACTGTAACTCCTTTTTCTTACAGTAGAAAAACAAACTTAGGATGTTGGGGGGTTTCTTTCATGAGAAGTCTTCCCGATGTGATGCAGGTTAGTGTTACTTTCTATTTGAAATCAGAAACTGACAAAGGGGACGTGGCCTCCTTAGCCTCAAGCGATAGATGCTTATTGCTGACAGGTCAGAGCATGGCTGTGTTATCCTTATCAAAACTCTTCAATATGTGTGCTTTTCTTTCTTCCTAGATGAAATTGACAGTTCTTCCATGTCAGATGACGACAGGAAAGAAATCGTAAACATTCAGACCTGGATAAACAAGCCAGACATCAAGCATCATTTTCCCTGTAAAGAAGTAAAAGAAAGTGGACATATGTTTCCCAGGTACTTTTGAAAATGTCTTTAGAAGTAAACTTGAATTGCGTGAAGCTAATATAAAAGAAATTACAAAGGACTTTTGTTCACGTGCAAACAGACATAATTTCCCACTGTGAACTTGTGTCAAGTGTCTCAGTTTTTAAAGTTCTTAAGTATTCTGAAAATTTGAGACAAAACATTGGCATATACATTGCATACTTTGATATGCCTCTCCTGGACATGCCAGCTGTTGGTATCCCTTTAAGTCCCCATGAGCGTAGCACACACTCAGCTCATTCAGAAGCAGCTTCTACACCTGCTGGTTCACCCTGAATGATACAGCATAGATATCCTGAGAAGGAGAGCATTTGTTGACATAACTCCAATGTTATTACTTCACCAGACTGATAGTAAATTACTGTTGACCAGCACCGAGATCCCAGAAGTTTCAGTCTCCTGATTGCATTGCCAGTCACTGCTCTTCCTCACCCAAGGCTTGGGAGGGCTTTCCCTTCTCTCCCACATCCTGGTCTCTTCATGAGTCCCGACCACTCATCTCACAGTGTTTCACATTCTAGACATGTCTGATAATTTGCCTTATTATGTTAGAAGTGATGTCATCTGACATGGAAGAACTGTCCATTTCATCTGGGAAGAAAGAAAAGCACACATATTGAAGAGTCCTGTCAGCAATAAGCATCTATCTCTTTTGAGGCAAAGGAGGCCATGTTCCCTTTGTCAGTTTCTGATTTCAAATAGAAAATAACACTAAATTCAACCTGCATTACATCGGAAAAAGAGTTTTCATGAAAGAAACCCCACAGCATCCTAAGTTTGTTTTTCTACTGTAAGAAAAAGGAGTTACAGTGCCTCTGGTTAATCAGAGTTTTTTGTTGTTGTTTGTTTGTTTGTTTAAATCTATGCCCATTTTGCCTTCAGGATTTAGTTGCAGAATATTATAAAAATATGTAAGGAAATCCAGCAATTGCCTAGTGGCTTTTGATATGAGACTATGGTGTGTAGGCAAAAATACTTTTGGTATAGATAATTGTTTTAAAAATCTTGAGAATGGAAGTTAAAAATTATTTATATGTTCTACTGGACTTCTTACTATAAAATTCTTAAGTAGTTGTGGTTTTACCTGTTAACAAAACAATTTCTTTTCTTTTCTTTTTTTTTTTTTTTTGGTTTTCGAGACAGGGTTTCTCTGTATTGTTTTGGAGGCTGTCCTTGAACTCACTCTGTAGACCAGGCTGGTCTCGAACTCACAGAGATCCGCCTGCCTCTGCCTCCCAATTGGGATTGAAAGGCGTGTGCCACTAAGGCCTGGCCAAAAATGATTTCTTTGAAAGTTGATTTTTCCTGTACTGGAGCTGTTGAAGTAACATGTCTGCTTTGAACCTTCTTTCTTTCAAGTCACCTGTTGGTCACTGCAACACATATGTACTGCTTAAGGGAGATTCTTTCTCGGAAAGGACTGGCTTACATCCAGTCTCGACAAGCATTAAATTCTGTAGTTAAAATTACATCCAAAAAAAAGCATCCTGAGCTAATTACCTTCAAGTACGGGAACAGCAGTGCTTCCGGGATAGAAATCTTGGCTATTGAAAGGTAAGATTTTATGTATATATGTGTGTTATCTGAATGAATGTAAATCATTGAACAGTTTCCTTCTTGACTTGGGGGAGTGGGTGTTGGCATAGGATCTTGAAGCATGCCCCTCTAGTGACGGCACACTTTGTCTTCTTCCTAATATCTGTTCATGTGTGGCTTCAGTGTTGACACACAACTTCAGTAATGCTGGAGCAAATTTCATGAACTTCTTGACACCAGGATCATTAAGAATAATCTAGAGGTTAGGAGAGATGGCTGGCATTTGTCACCAAACCTGACAACCCGAGTTAAATCCCTGGGATCCACGTGGTAGAAGAAAACCAACTCCCCAGACTTCCCCTTAACACTCCGTAGCATGAGCACCCCCTCAACACACACAAAACAAACTCTTAAGAAATACTATAGCAAGAGAGACTTTGCTCTGTGCTTGAGGCCTAGAGCTCGGTCCCATGCACTCAGAAGACATGTCCAGTGGCTCACAGATGCTGTATCTCCACCTGCAAGACATCCAGCACCCTCTTCTGGTGTCTGTGCACACAGACACACACAGATTCATACATGCACACAGACAAACCATGCATGTGTGTTACATGAGTTTTCTGGCCTGGCAGGTCCCATCCCTCTTCTCTGCCCCAAAGAAGCACATGGATGCTATATTAGTTATACATCTGTTGGTCAATGACTAGGGTTTCTTATTTGGCTAGTTCTGTCTAAATTATTAACCCATAACTACTAATCCATGTATTTCCACGTGGTCTTTGCTTACTGGGGAATGCCAGATCTAATGCCGTACCTGCAGCTCCTTTGCCTGCTACATGATGACTGCTCAGCATCTCCCCAGAGAAGAGGGAAGTTTCCTATTTGTCCCTGATCATATCCTGATTCTGCAGAGCTACATCACTCCCTGCCTGTCTATGCAGACCTCCAGACCTCTATGATTAGCTAGTGGCAGTTTCTGTCCATCGGTGTTCCTGGGAGCATATGACGACTCCCCCTCAGCCTACACTTCCTAGAATCCTCCTTGTCTCCTAGTCCTACCTATCACACTGGCCAATCAGTGTTTTATTTATCAACCTATAAGACAAACATACACACAGAAGAACATTACTCATCACGTGTGTGTGCCTGCCCATATGTGTATACACACATGCACATATACAAATGAACTTTTTTTTTTCTTTTTTGATTTTTCAAGACAGGATTTCTCTGTAGCTTTGGAGCCTGTCCTGGAACTTGCTCTGTTGACCAGGCTGGCCTTAAACTCACAGAGATCTGACTGACTCTGCTTTCCAAGTGCTGGGATTAAAGGCATGCACCACAGTCTCCCGGCACAAATGAACACTTTTCAGGAAAAGAATTATACAAGTGCTATACTAAATGCTGATTTTTGGTGAACCAAATTTGTCTTAGAATGCTTAGTTGATATCTTATTTTTCCATCATCAAAACTTCATAAGCTAAAAATACAAACAAAAAAAACTTCATAAACTGAGGGTGGTTTGAATCTGTTTTAGACAACTTAATGTTTTGCGTAAGGTCCAACTAGCAAGTACTGGAGTTGTCATTGGAATTAGATGCTATCAAATTATAACTGTAGCCAATTAAATTACATCTGTACTAGACAACAAGTGTCTCAGAGCTTCTATTGCTGTGAAGAGACACCATGACCACAGCAACTCTTAATAGGACAACATTTAATTGGAGTTAACAGTTTCAGAGGTTTAGTCCATCATCATGGCAGAACATGGCAGTGTGCAGGCAGACATGGTGCTGGAAAAGGAGCTGAGAGTTCTGCATCTTGACCCACAGACAACAGGAAGTGAACTGTGCCACTGGGAGTAGCTTGGGCATAGGAATCCTTAAAGCCCGCCCCCAGAGTGACACACTTCCTCCAGCAAGGACACACTCCCAATAGTGCTACTCCCTTTGGGAACCATTTTCTTTCAATCCACCACAGCAAGTCTTACCTATGTTTTCTTTGGACATTATACATACTTATTGGTAGTTTAGAGAATCTTGCTGTGCATTATATGAAAAGTCCCATCACTTTGACTTTTAGGTTTTCAAGTAAGGTTTTGATTGTCTGTTGAGGTAAGTTTATGGAAGTACACAGGAGGGCATCTCTGCTAGCATCATGGGTCAAGGAAAGTTTATCAGAGGTGACATCTCAGCAGAACCCTGAAGGGAAAGTGGCTGTATTAATACATATCTGTCTTTTCTCCCATAGGTATTTGATTCCAAATGCAGGAGATGCTACCAGAGCCATAAAACAGCAAATCATGAAAGTGTTGGATGCTTTGGAAAGTTAATGTAAAAGAAAGTTATTTAAGTGAAATTAAGGCAACCAAGAGAAACATGAAAATATATTTCCTGACTCAATACTAGCCAGAGACCTTTCATTTGCTCATGGGGGTGCCTGAGTAGAGGGTCTAAGTGCAAATTATTGTAACCAATCTTGGGATGGGTATACTTTTCTAAAAATTTCTTTTGCATCTTTGGTTTTATAAAATGATTTATTATAAAGGTCAGTTATTAAATGACTTTGAATTAACTGGCCTTGTGCCCTATGGATCAAGGGCACAGAATGCAGTTCTGTTTTGAAGAGCTGTTTTAATGGACATGCATTATTTTCAGGTTTTAAAACAACTTACACATACATATTTGCGATGTCTTCACGAAATTTAGAAATAGAATTAGTTAAAGAGAGTTAATTGCTACATTGAGTTTTGCTGCAATGAGCAATATCAGAAAATTAAAAGTATAGATTAGTAATTAGCTCACTGTTTCTGTTCTTAAAAACATTGAAGTCTGTTTAACGGAATGGATGGAGATCATAGCCAACTCAAAATCCAGCCCATAGAGAAACATCATTTTCACTCTTTCTCCACTCCAGTAGGCAATTATTTGGGGACCAATTGCCTCAGAGATTCTAAGCTCCATCCCAGCAGTTGCTAAGGAACAGTTAACAGCATTAGAAGTAAGTAGGCATGTTAAGGTTCAGACTAGCCTTTCGGGGACAGAACTGCATCTGTAAAGTGTCACTGCTCTTTATTCCATGGATCATTTGGTCTAGGCTATTTCAGAATGTTTGAACACTCTAGTTTATCCTCCTTGAGATGACCACACTAATGTCTAGTTTTAAAAAAGACGTAACCAGAGAGCCATAGAAATTTCAGTGTTTTTATATCACTTTCTAAAAATTTTCTTTTGGTTTTGTCTATTTGGTAAAAATTTCAGTAGTTGAAACTTTTTATTTTTTTATTTTGACAAAACTGAAGCTGTCTGCTTTGCTTTGCAGCTTGTTCAGATTAATTTCTGTGGCCTGTATTAGTCACATGTGGTGAGAGATCCAGAAACATCTTTTGAACCATGGGATGATTTTCATAAAATCTGTTTGAAAAATAGTAACTCTAACCTGCCATGTCATAAGATGTAATAGGTTTTCTCTAAGGGGTTGGTTAGTAGAAATATCCAGATGTACCCCACTAGTAGCCAGTTGTTTTAATTTGCTTAATGGAAATCAAGTGAATAAAAGATAACACAATTAAAAGAACTTTATTCTGATATCTAAATAAAAAGTTTATTTGAGTGGTTGAAGACATTTGCATGAAATTGCACCTGTGCAGTACTTGATATTTATAACTCTTCTCCAAACTGTTGTATTGCATTTTTTCCATTTTCTTGACACCCTCTTTAAAGTGTCCTGAAGTCTCATTTTTCAACCATCTCAGCTATGGGACTTTTTTCATAATACTAATGTAAAGATGTTTGTGTTACTGTTTATAAATTACAATTGTAAATAAACTGATACAGTTTGCTCAAAACTTGTGTCCTCAAAGCTGTCCATTCTCTTTTGTTTGTATTTTATCTCCAGATTAAACATTTCTGTTCTATTCGTATTTCTGTTCATGTTGTTAGGTAGCTTAAAATTAATGATGCCATCTGGGTGCTCGTGAGCTCATAGTCCCAGCTATTAAAGAAGACTGAGGCAGGAGAATCACTTGCGCTCAGGAAGTAAGGTCCTGTGACCTATCCCTCTTTTTTCCTAGGGCAGGTCAGTAGATCTACAGGGACTCTGGCCAGCTTGAGTGTGGCAGGCATGACTCTGGCAGGCCTTGCCCTTTTCCCCCATTCCTGCCTTGCTAAAAACCTTTAGATTGCATTCCTAAAGCTGGCACACAAGGTCTGTTCCCTTATTTGGCCACTTCCTCCTCATGAGGCTGACTACCACGGGCCAGCTGTCATAGTATTGAAGTCCAGCAATCAAAAGCCCCTCTCCCTCCCCTCATTAACATGCCCAGTTAAAATCAAACACCTCATCCTTATACAAGAGTCCCCCTTGTGCCTTTATAAACTGCTATTTTCCTATGTACCTCATCTGTTTCCTCTATCCAGTGGCAGTCCTTTGTCAAAAACCGGCTACTGCCTAGCACCTGCTCTCCCCATCTCTTTCCTTGCCCCTTAGGAGCAAGCTTCTGGAGTCCCTTAGCCTAAATCAGCCAGGTGCGCTTCCTTGGGCTGTCAGCACGTAGCATTCATTACCCTGGCCACTGCTGTGATCCAACCTGAAATTGCAGCCATCTTTGCCACATAAAGAGCCTTTCTACCCCAAAGGGACCACTCCATAACCATTTATGGCACACCACCATAATGTAGGCTGCTCCTCTTTGCCCTTGCCTCTGAAGGCCTTATTTAAAGAATTTGCAACTATTCTTTTCTCTTTGATGTATCCAAGAGCGAGTCGTTTTTAGTGTAGAGTCGAGGCAAGGATGTCCTAGTGATGCACAGATACTGAACACATTCAAAGCCCGAGGCTTACTCACCAGTCCTGCAAAACAGCACAAACAACAAACAGCAAAACCAAGCATCTAAGGCCCAAAACTCAACAAGACCCCGCCCCTCGGCCCTACTCATGGCCACGCCCCTCTGCGCGCTGCTCGGCCCCGCCTCCCGCGCTCGCCTAAGGGATTGACTGGTCTGGTTCCCGTGGCGTTACCCTGGCGCTTGGTGCTCGGAAGACGAGCCATGGCTAGTAAGTGGCACGGGGCCTGGTCGTCGAGCTCCCCGCGGGAGCGGAGCCTTCAGTGCTCAGGTCGCTGGTGGCCGCGGCTCGGAGCCAGGCAGGGCTGCTCGGGGAAGCCCGGGCTAGTGAGGCCGCGCCGGCCGTGCGAGCACGGGCCTCCATGCCAGGCGTCCTGCGCTGTAGGAGCTGCTCCCCCTGCGGGTCCCCGAGCTGTGGGGTGGGTGGTGCTGGTGGCCCTAACTCCCTGTTAGTCGCATCTCACTTCACAGTTCATATGTTAGCCTCGTGCCGCTTCGTTCAGTGACGTGGTGCGGATTTCTCCCAGCAAGCTTCCTGTAAATGCTTATAGGTACAGTGACCTGGCATGCTCACTTAAATGCTGTTCCCATGTTGGGCCCTTCACTGGCACTGTTTTGTGTCCTTCCCCCAAGGCTTATCGCCAATGCCCATTTATAATGGTTATTAGGGCAGCCAGGGATTTTCAAAGTCATTTTTCTCTTTCCTTGAGAAGGTGAAGCAACAAGTCCTGCATACGGGGGGATCCCAGTGGAGGTTTCCCCACGTCAGCCTGCAGAGGGCGCTTTGCACCAGTCCCAAGTTGGGGTCCGGACTTTATCCCTAGGGAGAGTGGAACCAGAAGCAAAACCTTAGTGAGTTTTAGCCTCCCTTACCTCAGAAGCAGCCAGCCAGCTTCTTAGGGTTAAGGGGGACCTTGGTGAGTCTGTGTGAAATCTGGTGACAGCTCAAGGTGTGTTAACCTGAAAGTAACGCCGGGTTTTGGTTTCTTTTGTTTTTATCCAAAGTCTGGCACTGTTCAATAAGAGGTATTAGGGTTAAATGTAGTTTTTCTTACCATAATTAGGATAAACCAAGGAATGAGAGATCGTAGATTTTATACCTTTAATGATAATTTTTGCTTTAATCAGAAGCCAAGTTTTGTCGGTGTTGGTGATGTAACCTATCCTTTAGATTGTCAGTAGCTGTGACAATCAAGACCGTGTCCACGCATTGCCAGAAGCGCCGTGTGGTGTGAGAAGCCTGGTTCTGGCTGAACTTAGTGGGCAGGTCTGACAACTGTCTCCTTTTGTCTTTGTCCTCAGCTTTCCGATTGGCCCTCATCCAGCTTCACGTTTCTTCCATTAAATCAGATAACATTACCCGGGCTTGTAGCCTAATCCGGGAGGCAGCAAAGCAAGGTGCCAAAGTAGTCTCCCTGCCGGTAAGTATGGCGGCGGTGGTGCTTGCCAGTGGTGGCCCTGTGCCCCACGTCCATTTGTCTTTTGGAACCCTGGTATCCCGTGTTTGTCTCATCTGTCGCAAAGACCAGCAGGGTTCTTTGACATAGGGTGTTTAACACGGCTACAGATCTAAAGGATCACCTCCTCTATTCAGATGAGGAATAGAAAATTTCAGGGGAATTACCTAAAGATAACGCTCTCAGGGCCTGTATGCTTACTTTGTTGCTTATGAAGTTAAGGCTTTCAGTTGTTATGTTTAAGGTCAGACCATTTTGTTTTAGCACTGTTTTGAAAAATTGTTTTGGAGGCTTTGGCTGAAGGTTCTATCATATTTGGTGGTCAGGAAGTACAGGGTCAGCCTTGGAGTTCCTAGATGACCAGGAATCTTTAACAAAGGGAATCTTATTGTTAATCTCATGGTGTGTGTGTGTGTGTGTGTGTGTATACCCTGAGAGGTTGGCCTTGCATGTCATTCTACAGGAGTCCTTCCTTCCTTCCTTCCTTCCTTCCTTCCTTCCTTCCTTCCTTCCTTCCTTCCTTCCTTCCTTCCTTTTTCTTTTTGGAGACAGGCTTTCTCTCTGTAGCCCTGCCTGTCTTGAAAGTCTGTAGACCAGGCTGGCCTCGAACTCAGAGACCCACCTGCCTCTGCCTCCTCAGTGCTGGGATTAAAGTTGTCAGAGCACTGTTGAAGGCAGATGCGTGTCCAATGTGTGTCATTGTCTCTCTTGGTGTCTGTGTCCCATCCCTGTCTTCGTTTCATCCTCCCCCACTTTTCCTGTCGGTGTGGGGCACCATAGGGTCATAAGGAGAGTGCTAAAGTGGGACTAGAAACAGCTTGTTTACACTAAGAAAGCATCTTCACTCCTCTGGCTTTCAGAACTTTTTATGTATAGGTTTTGTTCCTTTGCATAGTATAATTTTGAACTCCAGAATTCATCTCAGTATTCAAAATCACAGAATAAACCTGATTTGTGGTGGGCCTGATGTCCAAGAACTGGTCATTCCACAGGTTCAAGGTCTAGCCTTCTGCCAGGCCGGCAGGACGCTTCCTTTCCTCTGTCCTCACCAGGGGTAACTGTCTGTCTGCCTTTGACTGCACATTGTTTAGCCCTGGGTCTTTTCCTAGTGGTGTTTTATCTGTTCACACAGGACCAGAGTTGGAAGTAGTGTGTCTTTACTTTCTGCAGAATCTTCAATGGTTTGCCCCCTTTCTTCTCCTCTAACATTAATTTAGGAATGCTTTAATTCTCCATATGGGACAAACTACTTTCCGGAATATGCGGAGAAGATTCCTGGCGAGTCCACCCAGAAGCTGGCTGAAGTAGCAAAGGAGAGTAGCATTTATCTCATTGGAGGTAATTCCTTCCATGTGTGTAACATCAAAACAGTCAAAACATTAGAGTGACTTTTGTTACATTTAAATGACACATTTCAGCCCTTGAATCAGGTTGCCAGGGGTGGTGGCATACACCTCTAATCGCAGCCCTTGGAACACAGAGGCAGGGGGATTGGAAATTCAAATACAGTTTGGGATACACTTCTTTACACTAAGTGTAAAGAAAAATAGAAGTTCAGCATGATTATAAACATAATTTGCCCATTTAGATTAATCTCCCCCCCCAAAAGATGTCTGTATACCTTCACAGGAGTTACTATGTAAAAGGCTTAGTAAATACCATAGAAAGAATCACTGATGGCTTTCCCTGTAAAATGAGGGTCACTAGATAGAATGTGGCAAGAGAAACCTTACCTGTGCACTGTGTGCTGATTGAGGAAAAAAAAAAGCACACACCCTCTAGAGGTTCAATATATATATAATGAACATGATTATCGTGATAATTAAGGATTAGGAATGGATAGGGTGTGTATGGGATTGGTCTGTGACAGAGAAAAGCTGTGTCTTAGCATTCTCATCATAGGGCTTCTGGGACTCAGTTTTGTTGTAAGATAATGAATTTGAGCAATGAGGAATTGCAGGTTTCACTTTAATGTTACATATTAACTATTGCACAATGTCAAGGCTGAAGTTCAGGGGCAGTTTGGTTATTTTTTAAACCTTCCTCTGACATCTGGCCTAATTATACCGTATCAACAATTTGGAGTTCAGTCACTGAAAGATATATTCAAGTGGGGGAGAATGCTTAGAGTAGTTTATTATTGGGTCCAAATGGCTATTTCCCAGGCTTTTACCTAGTACTACACAACTATTGGCCCATTCCTTTTTGTTGCTGTTTGATGTAACTATGTATTTCTCTCCATGAAGGCTCCATCCCTGAAGAGGATGCTGGGAAACTGTATAACACCTGTGCTGTGTTTGGGCCTGATGGAAGTTTATTGGTAAAGCACCGAAAGGTAAGTAGGGGATGTTGCAGTTTAAGAAAAGCAGCATGCCAGAGAAAGACGCCATGCTACAGGGTTCAAGCAGAGGCTTTGTTTTATTAAGGAAAGGGATGTAAAAGGAGAAAGGGAAGGGGGGAAGACTGGCCTCCTGAGACAGGAGCAGCAGCAGACAGGCAAGGAAAGTGGAGAGAGCAGGACAGAGAGAGAAAAGAGAGAGAGAGAGGAGAATGGGAGGAGGGCAGGGCCCTTTTTAAAGGGAATATAGTGAATGTGCACAGGTGGTACTCTTAGTGGCTGCAGCTGAGGTCGTATCCTGCTGGAACCCCAAGGACAGGCCAATACAGATGCCTGAATACTAATGGGGGATGTACAAATCTCATCATCTTTCATTTTGTTTCTTGCTAGGATGTAGAAATACTAATCTTTAAACTACTGGTTATGTATGTAGCAACAATGATGAACTTACTAATTCTAATATAATTTTGAGTGCCCTTATATAATCTGAGAAAGACATCTTCATCCTTTCTTCTACTTTATATTTCTCATTTTACTTGTTGATCCATATGGGATCTCAAGAATACCATTAAGTAGTAGGTATCAGAAGGAACACATTCACCATTTTTCTCCTAAATATGACGATTGCTTTAGGATTGTTTAGTATCTATTAGATGAAGAGAGTCCCCTTCATGGAAGAGTCTTGCTATTTTGTTTTTAAAATCATGGTTAGTTGTAGACATGTACTAGGTACAGACTGGGTATACCTCCATGGTGGAGTGCTTTTTTAGCATGGGGAATGTCTGGCTTTAGTCATTGTCACTGCCACCACCCCGAAACATAAACATAAGTTTACTAACACTCAGCATACATCCTTGGGATCATGTGTCTTTTTCTTTTACTAATGTGATAAATTACATCAGTTGATTTTCTGATATCAAGCCACATTTGTTTTCCTTTAAAAAAAAACAAACAAACCCATTTTAGCAGGTGATGGTAGCACACACCTTTAATCCCAGCACTTGGGAGGCAGAGGCAGGCTGATCTCTGAGAGTTCAAGGCCAACCTAGTCTACAGAGTAAATTCCAGGACAGCCAGGCTACACAGAAAACCCTGTCTTGAAAAAGAAAAAAAAAAAAAAAGAAAGAAAAAATCTTATTTGGAAGAAATGCATTATTATATATGCATTGCAGACTTTGCAAATTTTTACCTGAATTTTGTTTTTGTTTTGTTTTGAGACAGGGTCTTTCTGTGTAACCTAGGCTGGCTTTAAATTAAACTCCAGTGATCCAGACTGGCTTTGAACTTGTGGAAATCCCCATGTCTTAGCCTCCTTAGTTCTAGGATTACAGGCATGTGCCACCATGCCAGCTTAAATGCTGCTCATTCTTTTTGTTTTCTTTGCTGTTGGTGGTGGTTTTTTGATTTATGGTCTCTACATAGCCCTGGCTATTCTTGTAGACCAGGCTGACCTCAAACTGACAGAGAAAACACCGGTCTCTGCCTCCCAAGTGTCTCTTCCTCTTTGCCAGTTTCATCAGTATGATTCTGATTGAGAAATCTCAGTATTCGTAGTGAGTAAAAGCCACCTGCATCATTTCCCCATTTTCCTGTAGTAGATGGAGTAGGTAAAATAGTGAATCTGTTCCTTCAGAGATTGGAAACAAGGTAATTTAGTACTATAATTTAAACACAAGATTACTTAAACCTGTTATTTAGTACTATGCCTGATATCACACAGAGCAATAAGATAGGGATTGCATGTCAGCCAGCTTGTGGGTGCAGTGTGGGCAAACTGGGGATGACTTTGGATTGTCGATCTTAAGAGTATTTCCATATCTGACCACTGGAGATGTCTGCCACTACCTGTGAGACTATGGGAGAAGAGGTAACCAAATCAATTATTTGCGATGCAGATCCACCTGTTTGACATTGATGTTCCTGGGAAAATTACGTTTCAAGAATCTAAAACACTGAGTCCTGGTGATAGCCTCTCCACGTTTGATACTCGTACGTATCAGATAAGTTTGCCTCTTACAGTAATCCCAGTAAAGAAGAGCCGGTATTTTTCCTTTTTATGTCTGTCCCCAATGTTCTCACATAGTCTTACTAAAAGTTCAGAATTGTGGGAGGTAAGCATTCAGAGGTCTAGAACGGTACGGAAACCAGGGTTTTGACATGGCATTTCTTTCCCTCTGGGTTACAACCTCCTGCCCATAGCGTCCAGAGTGTTCCTACTGGGCCACAATTGACTCATCCTACTTAGATAATGGGCACTACTCACAGGAACTTCTCATAGTGGAGGTGGTGAATGATGTCTTTGAGATGATGTCCCAATAGGTTTGAACATACGAATTGTCTGTATATAGAAGTCCCGTGAATTCTTCCCTGTCAGTGTTTTGTGATCAGAAGTTTACTCCTCTGCTCCATGTTACAGGAGATTCACTTCTCATGTGTGTATTTCTGTTTGGAAACAGCTTACTGCAGAGTGGGCCTGGGCATCTGCTATGATATGCGCTTCGCTGAGCTTGCACAAATCTATGCACAAAGAGGTGAGGTAATACTACAGATGGGTTAGGAAGCCACGTGGAGGTTTGATTCTGGGATGGTCCTGTGACACGAAGGGAGGGAGCCCTTAACACACAAAGTTGCTAAAAAAAATTATACAGCCAGGCATTGGTGGTGCACGCCTTTAATCCCAGCACTCAGGAGGCAGAGGTAGGCGGATCTCTGTGAGTTCAAGGCCAGCCTGGTCTACAACAGCTAATTCCAGGACAGCCTCCAAAACAATACAGAGAAACTGTCTCGAAAAACCAAAAAAAAAAAAAATTATACATATGCAAAAATCTCAGAGGTAGAGTATTAATGTATTCATGACCAGCTCTTCCACACCAGCCTGCTAAAAAGGCTTCCGAGATGGTTTGTGGGGATGTCATTTCATACACTGTGTCTAAGGCAGAAGCTATGTTCCCAAATGTCCTCTCTACCTTTTGGGTCCCTCCCATCACTGTGTTAAGTTACATGGGGCCCACTGAAAATGGAGCAATAGTCTATGCTGTCTTGGATTTCAATACTCACATAGATAGTAATATTTTGACATAGATTAGACTTACTCTGAGCCAAGTCAGGAGATCCGAGTTCTGGTTCTAGCTCTGCCTCGTAGTTGGCAAAGCACCTTGATCAATCATTTTACCTCTCTAAAGAGGTGTAGTTTCTAGTTCTCTCAGAGAGTGCTCTGATGGAGGGTTAAGGAGACACCTTAGGAAGCACTGCTGATGCCATTCAACACATGCCAGTGTCCTTATACGGCCAGCGAGACCACTGCCACTTAACTAAGGGAAGTGGTACGGATGGCCTGACAGCTGTTTAGCAGATGAGGTGCATGCATCCTGGACTTAACGGTGTCTGGAGCTGTGTTGCCCCAGTCGGTTCAAAAGTCACATCAGACACTTCTTCACTGTGAGTGCTGAGCATCTGGTGCCGAGCAACACTTTGATTACAGCTCTCTACTTTTTTAAAAGTGAAGGAACAGTTCTGAATGAGACATCTATCTCATTTTTCTTGTGGCTGTGTTTTATAAGGAATAGCTCTAAAAAACTTAAATTCAGGTCCCTATCTGTCTGTGTCTTGATAGACTGACCTTTTTTGGGTGTGTAGAAGTTTGAGTTTGGCTCTGTTGGATAAAGAATAAAGGAAGGGACAAGAATCACTAAATGCTCACCATTGCATTTTGTCTTTCATGTCTGGAGGCTGCCAGCTCTTGGTGTATCCTGGAGCTTTCAATCTGACCACTGGACCAGCCCACTGGGAGTTGCTCCAGCGAGCCCGGTAAGAAAGGAACCAAGCATCTCCATGTTGATGGGAGTATCAGCCTTAAATAGAATTCTACCCCTGCCTTTGCCTGCCATGGCATCCAGATGCACTTAGGATGAATCTGAACAGAGAACTCTATTGGGTACCATCTCCAATGCCATAACAGTGACCTCAAAAGATGCAAGGGTTAAAGACCTGTGCTACCATTGTCATGCCTGGCTTTTAAGATGAGTTTATTTTAGATTGTACATATGCCTTTTTCTTTGTGTGAGTATATATCTGGACTATTTCACCAACCTAGTGACTTCCAGTTCCATCCATTTTGTAATGGCTAAATGCCATTGTGTCATACATAGGTGTGACCATTATCTAATCTGTCAATAGACACAGGATGTTCCCCTTTCTTGGCTGTTGAGAACAGTCCAGCAATGCTGGGTGAGGTTCAGGTGATTTTTCTCATGTGCTGTTGTTTCCTTTGGATTTACACCTCTTAATAGGATTTCTAGACTACATGTTTTGTTTTTAACTTTTGGAGGAAACTCTAATGCTTTCCACAACACTATACTTACTTACAGTCTCACTATAGTGGTTTTTTTTCTCTACACCCTCACTAGGATTTGTTACCCTTCTTGATAACAGCCATTGGAACTAGAGTGAGGCAGTGTGTGGTTGACCATCATGGTTTCAGGTTGCATCTGCATGATTAGTGATACTGAGCATTTTAAAAATATTTGTATTGGCCATTTGTGTTTGTCAGCTGCCTATCATGGTGACAGAATGCCTAGATAAAGAACACATAAGGATGGAAAGTTTATCTTGGCTCTACTTTCAGAGGCTTCATTTTTACTCTTGGCCTTCTCACTCCAGACATGAAAAAAAAGGAAGGAGGTGCTGGGGGTGTTCTTCAAGGGCATCCCCTAATAGCCTAATTTCTTCCTTCTGTGACTTACTGCCAACCTCCGCTCCCAGTAGTGCTGTGGGCTGAGGACCCAGCCTCAGATAGTCCTTTGGAGGATATTCAGGCTCCGAATTATAGCACCATTTGCTGGGCTTCTTTTTAATACCTATTTAGCTCTGTTGCTCTTCCCTGACAGGCTCAATAAGTAGCCCAGGCTGACTTTGAACTTTGATTCCTTTTGCTTCAGCCTCCTGACTGGTGGCATTACAGACATGCGTTGCCATACTTAGATTTCTTGCAATTTTTAAATTGGGTTGTTTTGTGATATTGAGACTTTAGAGTTGTTACATACATATTTGTATCTATTTCTCCATTCTGGAGGGTTTCTTTCCACTCTTGGTACCTTCATTTGATGTACAGAAGCATCTTAGTTTGATCATGATCTGATGTGTTTTGTCTTATTCCCCAAAATCATTGCTCATTCCAATGTCCAGAAGCCTTTCCCTGTGTTTTCTAGTTTGTCTTCTTTTTTTTTTTTCTTTTTTGGTTTTTCGAGACAGGGTTTCTCTGTGGCTTTGGAGGCTGTCCTGGAACTAGCTCTGTAGACTAGGCTGGTCTCGAACTCACAGAGATCCGCCTGCCTCTGCCTCCCAAGTGCTGGGATTAAAGGCGTGCGCCACCAACGCCCGGCTACAGTTTGTCTTCTTAAAAATAACCGTATACAGTTGGATAGAAACATATTGCAAATCCACAGTGTAAGGTATTTGCTGTCTGTCGACTACAGGGCTGTTGATAATCAGGTGTACGTGGCTACAGCCTCTCCTGCCCGTGATGACAAAGCCTCATATGTGGTCTGGGGACACAGCACTGTTGTGGATCCTTGGTAAGTTCATCTTAGGTTGAGCTCAGCTGGAGGTTGAAGGATGACACAGGATCATCTACCCCACAACTCTGCCTGTCTTTTACTCACCTATCCTAACACCGTAAGGGAAGCTTTCACTGGCAATCCACATGGGAAAGAAACCATCCGCTTGCCAGATTGAGTTGCTGGCCTTTGTCCTCTTCTGCTTGGTTAAGCCCCCATCTTGGCAGTCACACAAAATAAAGAAGGCAATAGTAATGAGGCAGGCAGTTGGTCTTAGTAAAAGAGATTCCAGAATTCTTAGCTTTTAGCTAAAATTTAGACTGAGTGACTGGTCCCAGGATAGGAATGGCGAACAAGGCAAAAACCTTATTCCTCATGTAATGACTGCACAGGGCAATGAGTTAATGCAATGATTCTCAACCTGTAGGTGGTGACCCTTTCATAGGGGTCTCACATCAGATATTCTGCATTTCAACATTTACACTATGATTCATAACAGTAGAAAATTAGTTATAAAGTGGCAACGAAAATAATTTTGTTGTTGGGGTCACCACAGCACGAGGAACCATATAAAAGGGTCACAGCATTAGGAAGGTTGAGAACCACTGGGTTAGAGGAAACTAGCTATCCCCGTGAAAGGTAAAGCATTTTACCACTATGTGAACTACTTATATCTGTACAGTAGCACGGTTGTTTCTCCATGGACAAATCACATGGTTGGCAACTGCAAGTGTAGGTTTACAGTGTATGTTCACACATAAGATTTACTCAGACATGCATCCTCACTAGAACTTTGGACTTCAAAAGCTGGCTTTAGTCCATAGGACTTCTGCACATGTACATACTCATACATAAAAGCATTCCTGCAATTTCAGAATAAACAGACCGCTCATCAAACTAAGAGTTTGAAGTTTAAATGGGTCCCAGAGGAGGGAGGGAGGGAGGGAGGGAGACAGACAGACAGAGAGGAGGGAGGAAAGGGAGGGAGGGAGAAACAGAGAGAGTGTGTGTGCAGAGAAGCTTTGCAAGATGTGATAACTGATCTCAGGAGTTGCACACACCAGAGTTAATGGGCACTGGAGAGCTGGAAGGGTTAGGCTGGCTTCTGTCATATTCCTGTCTCCAGATGCTGGTGACAGGCTCTTCAGCCAATTCTCTTGGCTGCTACCTAGAGTGGCTGTTTCTTGCAGAATAATTACATGTGCTATATGCTCTCTCTACTCTTTTATATCTCCTGATTTTAATTTGGCAGGACAGATGGGTGTGAATTAGAACAGAAAAGGATTTAATCAAATGGCATTAATGGTATTGGTAGTTCATCCTTTCCAGGAGTTTGTGGTTGTCTGATAAGTAGAATCAGTTTAGCCACATGGTTTGTTATGACATATTATTCTGGAAATTAATCATTTCTCTACATGTGTTTTTTGAGCCCCTGCACTGGGTCAAAAGGCTGAGTACTGCAAAGTTTCCCAGATTAGCCTTCTCCTGGACTTGTGAAGGACTGTTGCTCCTGTCAGGATATAGACCCTTAATTTTATTCAGACTCTGGGAACTAACCTTTCTTTCCAATCTGAAACCGCAACTCTTTAGCATAGGGAGCCAGGGATGTTACACAGGTAGAGACTCTAGTACAGGGGCTCTGGTGACCCCCAACCATAAAATTACTTTCATTGCTACTTCTCAACTGTAATTTTATCTGTGTTTCCCTATGGTCTTAGATGACCCCTGTGAAAGAGCCATTCAGTTCCCAAAGGGTGAAGGACCCATAGGTTGAGAAGGACCCACTGTTACAAGACCTGGGTCGTGCACAGGCCCAGGCATACTACTCACAGGGGTGGTAGCAGCTGAGAGAGTGAGGAAGTGATGGAGAGCCTCCTTGAAGGGGCTTCACCAGGAAGGAGTACTGGCACTCCCTGTTGATACCGGTAACTCTATTCCCAGAGATTTATAATCATAAGATGGCTATTTTCTAGTAGTGTGTAGCTAATAAGCATATTCCATACTTTTCTCACCAAGCCTCACAGGGCTCATTTCCACATGATGTGCCATGCATTCACAACATAAATAATAAGCCCTGAATTTATACTGTTTTGTTGTTGTAGATCTTAGAATCTTTCTTTTGGCCTGTTAGACCAAGAAGAAAATATTGAGAACTTCACTGTCACCGCGTGTCAGCGAATCTTAATCCATTGTCTCCATCTCCTTCAGGGGACAGGTAGTAACCAAAGCTGGCACTGAGGAAACGATCCTGTACTCAGACATAGGTAAGATCTGCACTGTTGTGGTTCCGGTTTCTGGTATCTCCACAACTCTCTAACTGGTCTCTTGGAAGAGTTTTTGTGTCTTCTATCCTGGTCCATATTCTGGATCTGGTTCTGAGGATGAGCTTTGGGGCTCTGTCTCAATGGGCTTTGTTTGAATTGTCCCCAGGACTGCCAGGTCAGCAGCATCCAGACAAGGCACATGTTACTTACTGAGTCACTTGCAGTGACCAGTTTTCAGTTAGGGAAAGAATCTCGTTGGTTGGTAAGGAGTCGCAGATTACTTATCATGCACATTTCTGTTTTTCAGACCTGAAGAAGCTGGCTGAAGTTCGTCAGCAAATCCCCATTTTAAAACAGAAAAGAGCAGATCTTTATGCAGTGGAGACAAAGAAGCTCTGAAGCTAGTTTCTGACATGTCACAAGCAGGGTGACACTCTGTAAGATGGTCAGCTTTACTAAATCTTTTTGGGAAATGGACCCAGTCTTACACATGTAATTCTACCAATCACAAGCCTTATCGAATTAAAACTTTTCTTTACATTTGCTTGGTACTGATGTTCTAGCTCCTCTGATAAATAACTGTTGGTTCTGAGGCACTTCAGTCTTAAGATCCCTTTGCACAATTAAAAACTGAAGACTACGCATTTTTGTTTGTATGTGTAGCTAGTGGTGGACTGGTAATGTGATACTCCACTGTCAGAGAAAATGTACTTTTGTAGGAACACTGACTTTCAGGGTGATAATGACAGTTTCAAAAACATTTTTATTAAAATTGTTTCCATACAATATATTTTAATCATGTTTTTATCCCTTCCCACTATCCAACTTTGTTCTCTCTTTCAAAAACAAGCAAGCAAACAAAAAATACCCTACAAAAGTGAAAATCAAAACTAACAGGCAAAAGACCAATAAGACGAATAGAAAAAAAGTTCACAAAAAAAGAAAACAATGGAGTTTAACACACCACTTCTAAACAGTAATAGATGTGCAGTTTAGGCTACATGGCCTGTAAATATAAGCATACAACTGATTCAATATATTATAAGTATATAGTTTTACTACTGTGGTTAGTCACTGAAGAGTAACAAAATCAAGTGACAAAAAAAAATGTGATTGATACACAACTATGAAATACCAGTCAAAGTGAATAGGTATTACCACCCTAAAAACTTAAAAACAAAACAGCAAAAGAACCAAAACTAACCTATTATTCATGTCCGTGTCTGGGTATGTGCAGGTGCTCTCAGAGGCCAGAGGTAATCCCCCAGGACTGGAGGTAGAGGTATTCATGAGCTGCCCAATGTGGGTGACAGGAACTGAATTCAGGCTTTCCCAGAGAACAGAGAGCAGGAAGCACTCCTGACCCTTGGATCATCTCTTCAGTCCCTCCCTATAATCTTCTAAGTTCTCTAGCTATTCAATCACTGAATAGCTTTACCACCATACAGTACTTTGAGGTTTCTAGAGTTATCTAACAAGTGAGCCTCAACACAATAATTTGTATTGGTACAGTTTATCTTACCTGTGCTTCTGTGATGTCTTACTTGATGGATATCTGAGTTTTTCATGTTGGTAGGAGTGGAATGGCTGGCTCAAGTATCAATTTCACTGTCGAAACTTCTCCAAAGTAGTCATATCATTTTACACTGAATATTACATACTCAGTGTGGTTAAATTTTTATTATGCTTTTCCTATTTGGAGATGGTGTCTTCCTCCTATGTAGCCTATACTGGCCTTAAATTTGGGATTCCCTTACATTAGCTTCCCCTGGGCTGGGATTATAGGCACAATATCAGGACCAGCTTTTCTTCACTGTAAGTTTGATATTTATTTCTTGGGCTGGTAAGATGGCTCTGTGGGTAAAAGCACTTGCTTTGTGGGCCTGATAAACTAAGTTCAACCTTGGAACCTATGAAGGAAGGAGCCTATTCTGGAAAGTTGCCTTCCACTCTTCTACATATAAGAAATGTCTTTGAAAAATACTAACATCTTTTCACATATGTCTTTGGTAAAGTACCTGTTGATACCTTTTGCTCCTATATTTATGGTTTCATTTATCCTCAAGTGGTAAGTGGTTTATATATTTTTATGTAAATCCTCTTCAAATATTGTTTTATATTCTTCCACTCTGAGGGGGAAATGACATCTACCCCTACACACCCCATACTGGGGCTTAGTCACAGACCACATGCTAAACAAGCTCCTTTCCATACAGTTGTAACATCACCCAATCTCTTAGTATTTCATTATTTTGTGTCCTATAATGTGACCTTCCTATCCCTGCCTGAGTGTTGAGAATGCCGGCTTCTGCTACCATGCCAACTAATTTTCATTTGTAAAAGAAGTTTTACTTAAAGAACAAACATTGCACATTTTCATGAAGGCCAAGTTACCATTTATTCTTTTAAAATGATTACTTTCATGTGTTTGGTTATTTTGCCTGCATGTATGTTTTCATGGAACTAGAGTTACAGGCAGCTTGTGAGCTGCCACATGGGTGCAGTCTTTGGAACCAAATCTCTCTAGCTCTCGCTTATTTATTTCCTTTTTAAGTTCTTCCAAAGTCACAAGACTATTCAGATCCTCTGACATTTATGGCTTTAGATTACATTCATAAGTTCTTTCCATGGTTGAGAACCATGATTAAACTTCCTTGTGGAAACAGTATGAAGAACTGAGCCCCCTATAGCATTTAACAGATGGTTTTCTAGGCTGCTTCTTCAAGTATAAGATAAAGGACAAAGGAGAACTACTGTTCTCCATAGAGCTGTGCTTCATTGTTAAAGGGGTGAATAGTCTCAGGATATTCCCAACCACACCAATAAAAACTTGCATATACCCATCTCCAAAGTTAGTCTGAATGAACAGACTGACTAAACAGGGTATGAGTTAATACATGAACAAACTACCTATCTTTCTGTTACAAGAATAGATAGAAAAGCTTGAATGTAGTATTTATTTTGTGAATTTACATGTGAAGCCATTTACAAAAGAAAAGATACAGACAGATGCAGCTTTTAGTGCAGTTTCAAATATGTTCACAACAGGCAAAATAGTTGATGACTATTTGGAATGACAGTAGTGAATGGCACATGCTTCTTTGTTTACTACCCAGCCCCAAGAAAGAAGGGAGCAGAGTAGAAAATGTCAGTATTAATGTAAATACAGCCATGCAAATAAAAAAAAACTTTTTAAGCAAAGAAGTCTCATTCAGAGATGTAGGACATTTCTGTATTTAAGGGTTATCATTGGAGAATTATTTCCGAACAAAATGAAGAGCTCTCCAACTTTCCATTATCCCATCAATCACCTTAAATTATATTAACTGCCCCTACTGAAATCAGCCATGCTTTCCAAATTGTCCAAAGACAAACTTTGTAAGAGGAGTCATTTCTAATAGTTTCTAAAAAGACAGAATGTATAGACAAAAACATTTTGGTTTCAGTGGATAAAGCACCCTTTTTAAATAAGAGTGTAAAATGCTCCTTTACTCTCAACAATGTAAACTATAATTAGACTTCCTGTCTATGTCTTAACAGACTTACTTTTCATGTAAATTTTTCATATTTTCATTTCATGTAAATAACCATCTACCTGTCCTGGATCTTGGAAACAGACTCAGTAAGAACTACACCTCCCCCCACACAGGAAAAATCCAGCATATAAATAAGCAAAAGGATCGTCTGTGAAAGTGATGAATGGAAACAACCTTAGCAATTCCAAAGAAAGGATGAGGTACAGATGAAGATGAACAGAACGAAAGTAAAGTCAGCTAGCTGTCAGTATCTCTGGAGATGTGGACATGGACCATCAGTCCTTAGAGGTCAAGGTTACCTCAATAAAAAAGTACTCATGTATTGAACATCTCTGAAAATACAGGCTCAAAATCCCTTAAAGTTGATACTGCCACAGCTAAATAAAGCACTAAACTTTGCTCTGGCTCCAGGACTGACATCCTTTTTAAACCTTTACTGTATTTCTGCAACTAGAAAATTTAAAGTAATTAAATATTCCTATATATCATCACATGTACTCCATCTGTACGTGGCTTGTTCACACTACCCGCTTTCTTTAAAAAGCATACTATTAAATAGTACTTAATATGGAACGCACGGGCAAGTATATACACGTCTCTTTCACCTTACCTTGTCAGTCCCTCATTAACAGTCGTCCCGTACAAGTATCAGAATATTTTGCTTCTGCATAATTTACTAAAGTACTACAGAATCAGAGGCTCTGTGCATGCTGACATAGCTTAAAGTCTTTCAATTTTACTGAAATCCACATTGAAGCCTTTCATCCTTCAAAAAAATTAAAAAGGATTAATTGAATATAAAAGAAGTCTATATTACAGCACTTACTATATTAAAGACCAACCAACATACTATAAAACACTCATATTATACAAACAGCTATAAAAACAAAATCATTCAAACATAATCCCCACCCCAATATAAAAAAACAAATCAATAAATCAAAGTTTTTATTTGCATGGCCAATTACTGTTTGTACTCTACAAGTTTGTTTTAATATTCCTTTAACAGGTTTTAAGCTTTTGTTGCACAGGGAATAAAAGCTGCAAGACTGCAAACTTCCTTCAACAGCCACGCCCACAACACCCAAACATGAAACAGATGTAATGAATGACAACATCACAAAGGGACTACTAAGTTCCACCATTCAACACAGTTCATGACAGTGTCTTCAGGGTTCAGTTGAAGAGGGGGTAAACTTCTTTTAAAAAGAGTCAGTCTGCTTTCCCCTTGGTTTTATAATGTCGGTGGTTTTAATCCATATTTCTTTGCTACTTCTGTCTGGGCATGGGCAGCATCGCAAAGTGAATACAGATGAGCCATCTCCATTTCCGACTTGGCCAGGTTGATAGCTTTGTTGAACATGTCAATGGCTTTCTCCATGTTTCCTCTAAAGAGAAAAAATTTCAAAGATTCTTTAACAAGCACTTTTCCATAACCAATAAAGTTTAACTGCGCTGCATGAAGCCTTCAACTATATTTCTAATAAAAATGTTTTCTTCATAAAAAACAAGAGTGTCTAGGACAGCACACTGAAAGCACCAATGAGTTCTAACTATTTTAAAAAATACTATTCTAGCCCGGTCGTGGTGGTGTACTATCAGCAGTTGGGAGGTAGTGGTAGGTGGATCTATGTGAGTTCAAGGCCAGCCTGGTCTACAGAGAGAGTGCCAGGACAGGATCCAAAGCTACACAGAGAAACCCTGACTTCAATGTGGAAGATACTCAACTTCAGTAGTTGGTCTAGAATACGTACTGGAGGAAATACCAATATTAAGATGGTATAGTCCACTACATACATAGCTTTCAAGATGAAATGTAAATCTTCAGTGCAACTCTAGGTAAACATTTACACAAAAAAAAAAAATTTGTGGGAAATCAGAATTGTAAAAGAAAAAATCCAACCAAACCAGTTTTTATGAAAATTCAAAACAAGTTACAACTTGTCCAGTTTCTTGGCTGGTTGCTTCTTTTCGGCAGGATCCAGAATTCATTGTGGCCTGGATATTTCTTGTTACTGACACTGATTAAACCATGTTTCAAGTGTTTCTAGTCTTCCCACAGGAACAATAAAAGTGGAAAAAGGAAACCATACACAATACATAAAGACATAAAGACCTAGTCTCACTCTTTAAGGCACAAGCATGATAGCTTTTATAAGCGTAACTTTTAATTTGGAAAAAGTATGAAATGAGGCAAATCCAAATTTCCTTAATTTTGGGGGAATTGTGTACAAAAGTCAAGCAAGCTTTAAAAATTTAATGGCTATCAATTGATAATCAAATGAATGTAATGAGAACAAAACCCCAAAATCTATGGTGCTTTACTACATTTCTAGTAAGAAACTCTAGAAATTACCTCTGCACTTCAATGGTTCCCATGGTTTCATATGCAAAATCACATTTGTTGTCAATTTCAATGGCTTTGCTGATGAGCTCCAAACCTTTATCCAGATCTTGCTTCCACTGAAGTTGAAGTAAACTGGAAATGCAAAAATGGGCAGTTAGATGGACCCAGTATATGATTTGGTTTATCTGTCCTCAAAAATAGCAAAGACTAAAGTAGAACACACCACTACACTGGAGACTTGTGGTACCCATTTCTGATGTTGAACTGCACAGCCACTGATTGATAAAATCATGGTCCAGTCTTTTTAACTCTGTATTTCTAAGAAACAAAGACAACTATTTTGTATGTAAATACCAAGAGTTATTTATCTGATCAGCTTGTCAATATTTTAATCTGCAACAAAATGTATAGATACACATACATATTACAAATTAGTTTTGCAGATGGCCATGATGGTATACACTTTAATCCCAGCACTTGCAAGGCAAAAGGAGATGATTTTTATGCATTCATAGTCAGCAAGGATTGCATTCTTAAGAGTTTTCCACAACGACGTTTTATAATTAAAATGACTAGTTTCATATAATTAGCTATAGCAGAAATATTATTAACTTACAAACTATTGGTAAATTTGAAAAATAAAAATGTTAATCTAAATGACACCATTAAGCTGTGTTTCACAGAACAATCTATGATCACTGTTTTCAAATACTGTTTATTAAGAAACTCCCTTTTTAGTTGGGGAGGTAGACACAGATATTATACCCTCTCTTAGACAAGGCACAAAGTGAGGGCTGACACCCAGATTGTCTTTTTATGTCTACTGTGGCAAGTGTGTCCATGTTCACACATGCACAAACTCATAAAGATTAAATAAAAACGTAAACTCTAAGAATCAATCAATTCATTGATATGTCTACTCTGAATCATTTCTGTAAGGCTAAAAGAAATATTCTATTACTGTGAAAGAAATTTAGTGTCTTATTGGAACAAACAGAACAAGAAACATACATACCCTTTATGAACATAAGTTGTAGCATTATCTGGTTCCAAATCAATACATTTGTCATACATTTCATCAGCTTTACCAAATTGTTGTTGATCTGTTAATGCCTATGTGAAGAGAAACTTCAGTTATATATAGCAATGTAACTGCTAACCTGAAAATTAAAAGTACACTGCTTATTAATTTTTAAATCAAGGAGTTTGGGAAACTAAAGAATACAGAAGAGTTTACTTTTAATGACAGCCACGTCATCACATTTTCATAAGTCTATACCTGTACTTATTATTTATCATACTGATAATAAAGGAACTAGTCTAAGGGTTAGACTCATTTCAAAGGGTGTACTATAGATGTGTGAGTGAACTATTATAAGATTTCCATGGATACCAGAGAGTATCAAGGCTTTAACTTGAAGATGTGCTGGCAGTACCTAAGCCCAAGCTTTGAGAGTTAAAACAAAAAACTCATACTGCTTAACGAATTTTAGATTTATATATGCATATATGTAAAGTCACACTAAAATCCTCAGTGAGTTAATGCTAGTGCAGCTGTGAAGAGACCTCCTACAAATCAAACCCACTTAAAAGGGAAAGAAAGGGGAAGTGTGTGATTTGGAGACACGCTGCAGAAGATCTTCCTGGTGCTAGTTCCACTAAAGGGTCTAAAAATCTGTATCCAAAAGAGTTCTGAATTCTACGACAAAGGATGGTTACTGTCCACTGTTACATTAGAAATGTTCATTTTAGTTTAGCTTTATACAGTGCATGATTTTGTTTTGTTTTGTTTTTCTCTTTTCTAAGATAGGGAGTTTCTCTGTGTTGCCCTAGTTGTCTTCAAACTCAGATCTGCCTGCCTTTGTCTCCCTAGACTGGTACTATAGGTTTGCCACTACAGCCTGGCTAGTGCATGCTTTTATAGTTAATTTGCATGGTATTTTATAAAGAACTGGAAAGAACTATGACTAAAGAGACAACAACTTCTAGGCTGCTTCATGTCCCAGATTACCAGTTGTTGCCCAGTGGTGTATAGGACACACTGGATTAGCCCCACACAAATCAACCTTTTCACAGGCCTCCATCCTTCAATAAACCCTCCAAATTTTTACATTGCAACTAAATAAGATAAACTTAAGATGGGATTAGGAAAAGAGCCTCCAAAGATAGCAGCTTTTTAATGTTTTCTATTTCTATGGGAATTTCGGGAAAAGCCCTTAGGTTTTTTTTTTTTTGTAATTAAGAAAAAAGAAATCTGGGTATGGTGACAAAGGCTCACAGCCTCAGCACTTAGGGGCCAAGTCAGGAAGACCATGAGTTTAAGGACACCCTGGGTTGCATAGTAAGTACTTGTCTCACAAAAGGAAAGAAAAAAAAAAAAGAATACAGAAAAGGCAAATTTCAATTAAAAGACAAAGGGAAGAGAGTCATTCACTAATACAGATGACACAAAAATCAATGTTTTTAAGAATTTCAATCTAAAAGTTTCATGAATTTTCAGCAAAGCTTTGTGGCTCATGCCTTTAAACTCAGCACTCAGGGGGCAGAAGGAATGGATCTTTATGAATGCAAAGCTATCATGGTCTATATATAGTGAGTTCTAGAACAGCCAAAGCTACACCATAAAGAAAGAAAAATTAAAAAAGGGAATTTTAGACAGCTCAGTGGTTAAAAGCCCTGGCCACTTTTCCAGAGAACACAGGTTTGATTCCCAACACCCACACAGTAGCTAACAACTACCTGCAACTCTAACACCAGGGAATTCTGGCTGGGGTCGGGGGGTTAAAGTTCTCACTTTGGCAGCACATATATTAATTTAGGATATTTTAAGAAAGATTAATATTTTTTCCTGTGCAAGGATGACAGGCAATTTTATTAAGTAAACAGCTCTGAAAGCTATTTTATTAAGCAAGGTAACCTAAATTCAGGAAGACATATCACATATCTATCTCATGTGTACCTGCAAACATTGAACTTTTGGGGTTTATACATGGGTGTAAATGCAGGTACAGGTCATGAAGCTAGTGTGTAAAAGAGGTTCTAAGGGAGACAAGTGGGTGACAGAATACATGTAACATAAAAGAAAAAAGCAACCAAGAAGGTGCCAGGGAAGAATGAGTGGAAAAAGTTTAAGAGAAAGAAATTACCCATGAAGATGATAGAAAGAAACGTTACTTTGTATGCTAATTAATAAGAATTTTAAACTAACCAAAGAGAAAATAAGCTGTTATAACGTAGATAACCATTTAAAGAGGGCTTTGAGCAAGCAAAAAGACCTTCATATCATGGATGTTTTCCCTATCAGTTAAGTGAAGAGTAAATTTTCTGAAGGAAATTACTTTTGACAATCCAATCCTACTAAAAGCCTGAGAAAACTCTTGCCCAGAGCTTCCACACCTTCTGAGCTTAGTGTCAGTTTCCAGATTGGATGTCAGGAGCTTCTCCTGAAGCTGTTCAGGACCATGCCATGGGCCTTGATAATCAAAGCAGAAACAACATTGCCTGCATCCACAGAAATGTGGTCAGGTCAGCACAATTCCCTACTGGGATCAAGTTTACAAGTGCAGCTCCTAAGAAATGTGTTTACACTTACCTGGGCATAAAGTGCATAGCCTTCAGCACACCTGGGAAATTTCTTTATGACTTCTTCAAAACCTTTCATAGCAGCCTGGACTTGTGAAGAATTGTTTGCTGTATATGCCTGGCGATACTGTTTAAAAATCAGAACACTCCAGTCAAAGAGTTAAAAACACTTCTGAAATCTTAACGTATTACAGAATACTACAAAAATGTTTCCGGAAAAGCAGATGACTTGTTAATCCAAAAGGACGTCAAGGAACAACTCAGCAGCAGAGGGTCAAACACAATGCCAAACACAATGTCAAGACTTCAAGGCCACTATGTATTTTTAAGGCCTTGCGGTGGTTTGAATGAGAATGGCCTCATAGGGTCATACATTTGAACGCTCTGTTCTCAGCTTTTTTGTGGGAACCATTAAAAGGTTTGTCACTAGAGGTGGGCTTTGAGGTTTCAAAAGCCCAGTTACTCTTCCTCATGGATCAGATGTCAGCTCTCAATGACTATTCCAGTACCATGCCATGTTCCTTACATGATGCTAATGGACTAGCCCTTTCAAACTGTAGCACCCAATTAAATGCTTTCTTTTCTAAACTGCCTTTGGTAATGATGTATCTTCACAGCAATAGAAAACTAAGATGTCAACAGAGCATATAGATGGCATAATTTGATTTATTTAATTTTCTGCAGTGCCAAAATTCAAAACAACGACCTTACACATGTTAGGCCTTCACACAGCCTATCACCAAACTGTATCCCATTTACCAACCTTTTAATGTCACAATTCTATTATTTTCATCTTAAACCTATAATATAAATACTTAATGACAACTTTCTTTAGAGGGAAAATTATTTTAGGACTGGTCATCGGGAAGCAGTTAAATCATGCCATGACTATAAATTATTTCCTCAGATTGTTTTGGAATCCTTCATACTAGCTTCTGGTAGAGCAGCAATCTACGGCACTAGCATGAGAAGCTGAGGCAGGAGGCTTGTGAGTCCAAGGCCAGCTATATAGATTAAAATGCTTCATTCATCCTACCTCCCTGAAATCACCATTTGAGAAAAACATGACTGTAGACAATGCAATGCTCACTTTGCTGAATACTACGAAACACAGATGGTGCTTATGAAGTCACAAATGAAAACGGCACCTACCAATGCAAAACATTTCTGAGCTTGAGCCAGAGCAAACTTGGGTCTTAATCTAATGCAGGCATCAAAGTCTGCCACTGCTTCTTCAACTAGATCCAGCAGAATTTTCAGCTAGGGAAAGAATACATAATTAAATGCAATCAAAATAAGAGGCTCAATGTTTAAGCTTGCACCACATTTCTCTATTTCTTTCCTACTACCACAGTTAATGCTTAGCATTTATTAATTATGCAATATAAAATTACTTTTCAGGAAAAAGTCATGACTCTAAAATCTCAAAACTGGTATCTGATTTTTTTCACTGCAGTTTTGATAAAAAAAATAAGAAATATAAAAAAAAAGAAAACACAAAAATCAAAACTAAGTGCCTCTCTGCTTAATTTCAAAGCAGGTTACGCTTTATATAATTACCATTCAATTAATTTCAAGACATTTAAAGATGGAAATAACAAGAATTTTTAAAGTGTTATTTCAACACTGTGTAACACCTTTCAGAACCACTGAACAGAATTCTCCCGTAGAAAGAATTTCAAGTCAGGTACATCTGTAATCCCAGTGCTCAGGCTGCCGAGGCTGGAGGACTGTGCGCTTGCTCAAATGAACTCGCACTACAGCAGAGACTTAGGTCTAAAATAAACAAATGCTCATACTTTTAGTTTGTTCCTCCTTTCTATTACACTGTACTGTAAGATGCCAAGTTAAGCAAATTAGACTAGGTGTGCTGTGGGTGTTTGGTACCCTGGATAATGCTGGGTAGCTTATAACTGCCTACATCACTTCCAGCTCTAGTGGATCTGGCACCTTCGGCCACCCTGGAAGCCTGCGCTCATCTGCACAAACTTCTACAGACACATACATATCATTACAATGTTTACTAGGTCAGATTAGTGTTTACTCACTGAAAACTTATAAACTAGGTATACCCAATAAACTAGCCGATCTGCCAAGCCCTCATTTTTTTTTTTTTGCTTTCCCTTTCTTCCACAATACCAAAACTATAATAAATGTTCAAGATGTAAGTAAATAAAAGCCAACCCAATCTGCAAAACACTTAAACTTCAATAAATCCTGGAGGCAGTTATCAAGTTACAGCACCAATTCTAGCTGAGACCAGCTCTACCTGTCCTCGGTGGTGATAAACATCGGAGTTCTGAGGGTCGATCTCGGCAGCCATGTTGAAATCCTGAGTAGACAGCATAGGCTGCTGCTGTTGCATGCACATGGTGCCTCTTTTGATGAGGGCATTTGCTCGAAGCTATACACCCAAAGTAAGAAAAAGTTCCTGGTTAATTTAAAAACCCATTCAGATTTCAAAAAAAAAATCTGCAGTGCCTACTATAAAGTTCACCCTTTTTAAAGACTATATGCAAGCTTGCTGGTACATTAAACAGAAGATCACTACAAATTTCAAAGCATTTTTATTGTACCCAAAGAACACACACAGAACAAAGCCTCCAATCCAAATGTCCAGAAACCACTTACCTCTAGTCTATTATCCTCATGCTTGTACATTTGGAATGTTTCATATACTATATGGCTCCTTTTCTGGCTTTCATTTACAATTATCATTGGTGTGGCACGTATTAGCATTCCTTCTTATGGCAGTATTATTTAAGCACATAGATGATACTGGACATATGGGTTATTTTTATCTTTTGACTGTCATGATTAATACTGCTGTGAACATTCAGGTATGTATGTATATCTTAAATTCCCTGGAAGCAGCATTCATAGATTACATGGCAACTAGGAATAGGGAAGAAGAGGTACTTCAATGAAGTTTTGGTTGACACTGTCCTAGTAGGTCGTGGTGCTGAAACACCTTTTTCATGCTGTCATCTGCCATTTATATAGAATATTCTTTTGTGATTTGTCTAAATTTTTTGTACATTTTCAGGTTAGGCTCCCTGTTTACTGTTGGATTCTAACTTTCATTCTTGATTACAAAGCTTTTATCATATGAATGCTTCCTGAATATTTTGCTCCATTCTCTGGAAGGTGTTTTCAGTTTCCTGATATTGTCCTTTCAAGCACAGGCTTACCTTAAGCTATCCTTCAATCTCAGTCACCCAAGTACAGGCCATGATGCTCAACTCAAAAGCGGTTCTTTTTCTCTTTTTACATTCATTGATTTACCGTGGTGTGTGTGTGTGTGTGTGTGTGTGTGTGTGTGTGTGTGTGTGTGTGTGTGTGTGTGTGTGTGTGTAAGTCAGAGGACAACTTGCTTGAATCCATGCTGTCTTCTACCATGTGGGCTCCAGGGATGGAACTTAAGCTGTCAGTTTTGGCAGCAAGTTCTTTACCTACTAAGCCATCTTTTTTTTTTTCTCTTCTGAAGTTATATTTTATTTAGGTGTCATATTTCAGAAACTCCTTCCTAATGCAAGATAACAAATACTTATTCCTATATTTTTCCTACGAGTTTTTTTTTAGTTCTTAACATTTAGGTTTCTGGTTCCTTTTGAGTTAATTTTTATACATGATATAGAGTAGATATTATTGTTCCTAGCTGTTAAAGCTGAAAGTCATGATCGTAAATACATGTTTCTTCCTTAATCAATAATGCATGTACTTTACAGCAGAATACAAGTTTTAGCAATTAGGAAATCAGCATGGCAGCTCAGGAAAATTCTGTAGGGTAATAATATCAAAAGGATGTCAACAACACTGTCCTCAAAATCAAAGTAGCCTTTCAGAGAGCTGCTAGCGCAAAGCAAAGGTATGAGCAACACAACTGCAGAAGAAATCCCGCCACTTTCGAACTTCCCACATGCACACGTGTTTCAAACTGTACCTTCACGCTAGCTTCCTTCAAACTGATGACCTTATCCAAGTCAGGTTTGGCCGCATTGGCACTGCCAATAAGCAGGTAGAAGGTGGCTCGCAGTAGTAAGGCTTCCGCCATGTATTTGCCTTGAGCATCTATTTCCTTTGAGCATTCACTTATGATTTTGTCATAGTTTTCTTCTTCCATATACTGTTTAGCTTTTAAATATCCAGAACTGAAGATGAAAGCAAACATAAGAAGTTAATTACTAAGGAAAGACCAAATGCTAAAACTTGCCACACACGGTACGCTGAACTGTCTTTTTCTCCTACATATATATTAACCAGTCAATATGGGAGATTAAACTGACTAGGATTTCTTCACCAGCAGAGATTTACCTGTTTCAAGCCGAGGCAGCATGGTCACTGGCAGAATCCTTAGGCTAGTACCCCAGTTCTAATATTAGGCAATGTGAGGTGAGGTAATGAGAAAGAAGACACTCTTCTGTAATACGGATGAGGACCCTGTCTTACTTCCTGTCTGGGCATATCAGTAGTGCACTCAACACTTACTAACGGCTAAGAGAAGAACAAGGAAGGAAACAGTAACCAAGAGGAGTGGTCAGACCTGCGTTTTATACAGATTATTGCTTTGTGGAGGATGGAGTGAGTAAAAACACTGAAGTACCTCAAAAGTAGATTTATTGTGCCACCTTAAAAAGTACATCTAGAGCTGGAGAAATGGCTCAGAGGTTAAGAGCACTGACTGTTCTTCCAGAGGTCCTGAGTTCAATTCCCAGCAACCACATGGTGGCTCACGACCATCTGTAATGAGATCTGGTGCCCTCTTCTGGTACGCAAGTGTACACGTGGGAGGAATACTGTATACATAATAAATAGATCTTTAAAAAAAAGTAGATCTAGAATTAGCTCAGGTCTTCAGACTTATGAGCAAGCACCTTTACCCAACAAGTTATCTTGCAGAACCCCTAGAATGACCTCTCTTTCAAAAACACAGCAAATTCAACATTTCTCTTCTTTGTGTGTGTGTGTGTTTTGTTTTTCTAGACAGGGTTTCTCTGTGTATCCCTGGTTGTGAGATCCGCCTGCCTCTGTCTCCTTTGTGCTGGGATTAAAGGTGTGCACCACTACCGTCTGGATACAACATTCTTGTTCTAAGATGATTGCTTAATGAAGGCATCTGATTTATATAAAAGCTGAACACTAACGTGGTGTGAAAAATGAAAGACTTTGGAAGTACATACTTGGGATTTCTATCTTGCCTTGGACTGAGACATGTGGTAGAATACTAGGAAACGATGCTGACAGGGACAGCAAGCTACAGCTCACAATCACCCACAGGATTACAAGGGTAAATAAATGACAGTTATCATGTTGTTCAGTGGGCTACATAAAGGAAACACATATTTGACTTACTATAGTTTCAACTTACAATGTATTTATAGGGGTTTAACCCCTCACATGTTAAAGAGCATCTGTATTAAAGAGCATTGTAAACTGAGTGCAATTTCTCATTTCAGTTGTTATATTTTAGCTCAGTGGTTCTCAACCTGTGGATTGGGCATTATGATTCCTAACTGTAGCAAAACTGTAGTTATGAGGTAGCAACAAAATAATTCCATGGTCAGGGTCACCACAATATGAAGAACTGAATTAAAGGATTGCAGCATTAGGAAGGCGGAGAGCCACTGCTCTAGACTGAGAAAACTGGTATGTGATTTACAAGAAAACTTCTACCAGATTCTTCTAACTTCACTCTTACCATTTATTTTCTATTTTGCTGCTTAGGTTACCAGGATAAGAAAATAGGAGCGATTATATTAAAATCAGAATGAAAGTAATAAGTTCCCACTTACTGAAAACATGGTAAGTATTTTCATAGGTCTCTAAACCTTAAAATAGTCCTAAAGTTAAGAGTTAGAAATACTAGCTTCATCAAAAAAAAAAAAAAAAAAAGATGAGGTAAAGGCTCAGAGACCCAACTACAATTGCAGTAGCTGATCCAGCTGAGAGCTCTTGTGAGTTTATGATTCACATCCTGTCAACCTCACCATGGCTCACAGAATATGACTAACTTTGCTCTAGTTTTTATGGGATGAGGACTATTTGCTTAACAGAAGAGGACATTATCCGTATCACTGTTACTAAAGTTATGATATCTGAAACTTACTTCCCAACTGTGACTTTCTCAAAGACTGTGTACTAACTAACATTTATAAATCTTGTGTAATTAGGCAGACTTCCTAAAAACTCAGTTATGTTTTACTATAGGGAACAACATTACTCCCCCTCCCACACACATGAATAAATACCCAACTAGTAACTCTCAGGGAAGAGTTAGTCCAACTGGAAAACACAAGCATCAATAAATATGAATGAATAAGCAGGCTAGATGGCATATATATGACATCATAAGGTCTCCAGTCATAAAGGCACTTGTCCTTTGATTTCAACTTTCTATAGTTATCAAAAACAAGATGTCATTAGGAATGCCACTGTTCTGGACAAGTAGAAAAAACTTAAATTTACAGCATTCTTAAGTGTTCATTAGCATAAATTAAGGGCTACCCTGCACTCAAACATTTGGCATTTGAGCTACATATAATTTAATGTAGCATCTCTGTTCAAATCACCTAAACCATGCCCCTTGACGTAATGGGTATTTTCTTGATAACCTCACTATGGCCGCAAAAGCAGTAAAGTGACAAAATCTAAGTACCAGAGAAATAACAGATAACTGCTAGAAAAGGAGGTATCTCTATAATAATATAGAACTTAGTTGTATTTAACCATCTGTACACAGCTTTCCTTTAAAGGTGACTGTGAACCTATCTGTGCTGCAGGCCCCAAAGCCCCTCTAGCCCACAAAGTTTAGCATACTTACTTTTCTTTTACTTCTAAAGCTTCTCCTTCCTTGTCTTTATCTTCATCAGACTTCTCTCCCTTAAGCATTGGTTGAGAAATGATATCATCCGTGAAAGAACTGAAGTAAGACTTAATAAATTGTGGCGATGGCATCAGAGGTTCACGGTTCTAAAATTCAACCATGTTTAAGCTTTGTTTTAAAATGAGAAAACACTAATCAAAGAAGCAAGTACACTGCAGAGTAAGAATGACTTATAAACAGTGTATTCGCACTTTCAAATTAATAGACAATATTAAGTTCTAAGCCTTAGGATAAGAGTAGGAATCTAACACGCCTCAGAGATGATTTTTAAAAATCCCATTATAAATTGCTGAAAGGCAAAGAAGTCGTGGGCTCTAGTACAGTTACTTATAAAGCTCTTGGATTAACAGCACATGTTAATACATGAAAGCCTATGCTACAGGAACCTGGTGTTTGCTGTTCTGAGAAAAGGTCTCACTCTATACAGACTAGCTTACCTTCCCTTGCTTTGCCTCCCAAGTACTAGAACTATAGACATGTGTCACCTAAGTTTAGCTATATAGGTTAATTACAAAGATCACTTTAGAAGAAAATGGAGTTGTCAGTAAAGAAAAAGGGAATAACTGCCCTGAAATCCTGAAATTAGCAGTATACCTTTCTCCTCCAAGTATCTGTTCCAATAAAGTGAAACCTTGTAAGGGAAGAGACTGTCCGTCCTCCACTCCCCAAAGATAGGGTCTCATTTTGTAGCATACACTGGACTCAATTACATGTAAGAGCTACCAGCCTGGATCTGGAACCATGTGCTTGTATCCACTGCTCTAGCCCAGACCCTTGTTTAACTGTTAAATAATTATGTCACTAACTAATGTCCATTGATACAGTTTACCTTTAAAAACTAATGATGCACAGCAGGAGTTGGCATATATTTTTCTATAAAAAAATCAGGTGATACACAGACAGGCACTGTAGACTACATAGATTCTGCATACTTTAACAACCACTGAAATATGTTGAGCAGCACAAAAGTAGTCCCAAACAATATGCAAGTAGCTAACATATAGGAAGCAAATTGGATTTGGTCTTTGGGCTATTGCATGGTAATTCCTAATACATAAAGTGAATTATAGTCAGTTTTGGGCTTACTGAGTATAGGAAAAAGAAATGTAACCCAGCTCTAGTTTCAGCTGCTATCAGGAACACTGTCCAGTCTCAGGCAGTATCCAACTATTCCCAACTATAGTAACTTACCTTATATTTTTCTTTGGCGTTCTCTTTCCCGAGAAGTTTAAGAACTTTATCAGCTAACAGCATGCTCTGCTCATTTTGGAATCCTTCTAATATACACACAGCAGTGACATCTGGAAATGATATATAAAAGTGGAATTATGGAATTACTGTGAAGCAGCATCAAATAGATACAACTAAACTACAAAAAGCCAAACTCAACTCAAAGCAAGGTGGGACTGTTCAATTTTCAAAAAGTGTCAATATTGTATTCCTCTGGGGTTTTTTTCTCACCTGTGAAATGAATGGGCTTATCCTGTTTAATTTCTTATGGCTCTCAATGCTCTAACATTCTGTAGATAGTAAAGAAAACAAGGAATCCAGAATCTTCTCTTTTAACTATTAACACAAGGCAAGTGAACATAGTAGATGCTCTCACATCTTGCTACGCTGCCCAGACTGCTATCAAACTTCTCCATACAATTAATCCTCCTCCCTCAACTCCTAAGTAGCTTTTTAAGTAAGTAGTTTTAAAACTCCTCTGAGATACTCTGCCTCCATAGCTACTTTGTCGAAGAACTCAAAATCTGCCTGGAAACACCACTTTCAACTGGTTATGTCACAGCTCACAAAAAGTGGTCTGAAATGTGAAAGAACAGAAGTTGTTGATCCTTTGACTCAAAGTATTCAGCAGCTGCTACTTCTCTTTCTAATGTTCCACTTTTCACAAGTCCTCACTCTAATTCTTCCAAACAAGTCAATACAACATTACATTTCCCTGCTAACTTTAGCTACCTCTAACACTGTTCTTCATTTCTCACTCCTTTTCCTTGATCTAAACTCCAATCAATCACTTCTCTGCCAATTACTATCTGCTAGCAACTTTAAGGTCTAGCTCAAAACAGAATTCCCATTTTAAAAACATCATTCTTTCAACCATCACATGACATCACAAAACTTTTAAATTTTCTAACACAATCTAAAATAGCCTCATTCTTTTAAAGGACTTACTCCTTTAAAAAAAGCAAAACAGAATAAAAAAGCATTTTAGGCTCAGCTCAGAGGCAGAAAGTATGCTTAGTGTCTGGGAGTGAGATCCTGAGTTTTTATCCCCCAGTACCAACCCCAGAAAGTTATTAAAAGAGTAATTGTGGCTACATTTTATTACTGATGTTTTGAAAGGACCTGTGAACATGTACTGAAAGTACTTTTAGACTGCAGAAATTATATTCTGGGTTAGCGTCACGTTACTTAGAAAAATGAACTTTAAAAGCCTGTGACCTGTACTTTAATTGCAGTTTTGGAAGAAGACATGGCCAATTAGAGGCAAAAGAACATTTGTAACATTTTCCGAGAATGACACACTCTGCAATTGTGTAAAAAATAATGTTTGAAAATAAAAAGGGCAAAAAGCATTCTCCTTAATGAGTCATCTCCAAGTTACCTCACATTTATACCAGAAAGTAGCTCAAAATATGTCAAAACTAACCTACTAAAACTACCTTTCTGACTTCCTCAGTCAAAGAGTTGTTCAAAGAGTCTTAATAGTCCTTAGTAATTCCTCAGTTGAGGTTGGGTATGGCAGAGCAGAGGCAGGTGGATCTCTGTTTCATGTCAGCTGTTCTATATTGTGAGTTACAGGACAGCCAGGGTCATGTAGAGCCTGTCTCAAAATAGCCAATAAAAAAATAAATAATTCCACAGCTGAGAACAGAATCTCAACTGGGAAAGAGTTTCACACAGAGACAATTAGCTGACTTCTACACTCACAGGCAGTTTCATATACATCTACTAACAACTACAAAGTGTCCTGTTATTTTCCTGTGAAAACACAGAAACAACCTCACCTTCTAAACACTCCTTCTTATTGTCCAGCTTCTCGTGGGCTTTTGCACGTCTAAAGAGAGCTTTCACATATTTGGGATTAAGTTCAACAGCCTTTGTACAATCCTGTGCCACCTCTTTCCACTTTTGCTGTAATTGGAAGCATGAAAAGGAAAAAGAAACATTGAAAACAGTACTTTTCAACAGAACCGAGGTTTCCAAACCTAACAGACCAAGTGTTAAATTTCTCAAAAATGTATTTGCAAACACATGCACACACACACACACACACACACACACACACACACACACACACACACACACACGAAATTAAGACAATACACTAGATTTCTACAAATAGGCAGTGAAGATATTTAGGTTTCCTACCTTAGACCCACCTGTGGCTGTGTTTGCACAGCACGATTTCACTCCTGCTAAAATGAGGAAATCAGCCCTTTTCTCACTGGGGATGGGAATCCACACCTTCCCCATGCCAAGATCTTTACTTTCAGTTATTCCTTCTCTGCAGACATCCACCTCTCTTCTGAACCATCCCATGACATGGGCACATGCCCAGATTGTGTTATTTTCCCACTTACAGCATTTGTCATCAGTCCACATTGCCACTCTGACTTGCTATCTATTACATTATTGGCTGCTCACTCTCAATTTGGCTGAATTCCTTCCTTCGACTTGACTGCTACATGCTGCAATCTTCAAGAACTCGCCTCTCCCTTCTCCTCAGGTGACTTGTCTGGCACTATTTAACATCCAAAATCAGGTGATTCACCAAGTTATCTCAAGCTACACTACGCTGCTAAATTATAGATGTGTGGTCAACTACCTACTTAGCTGGCTCACTTCTCCGCTAGCAAAACTGAAATGAAAAATTCTTCTAACTTTAGAGGAAAAACAAGAGAAGAAACAACACTGAATACATACCAACTGTTCAAAGGCAGCAGCTCTGTTCTGATAAAATGTAGAAAGGTCTACATTCTTCTCAGTAGGGCACAAACTAATAGCCTCAGTATAGCACTGAATAGCTTGTTCATATTTTCCTGCTTTGAAATATTTGTTGCCTTTGTTTTTGGCTGCTTGGGCTCTATCCAGAGAATTCTGAAATGAGAGAAAACAATTATTATTAAGAACGGACATCGTAAATAAATTCAGACCATAGTGATTAAACAAGCTGATGAAACAAAATGGAATATAGGATGGTTGTTTACTCAGACTCCCCGCCCCTCCAAGGCTGACAAGTTAAAGTATCATTTATCAATTTCTGCCAACATCAGAATCGACAACTTTAATGTTTGTCAACCAAATGGCTATAAAGACATGTTTCTCAGCCAATTTAAACCCCTTGTTTTGGAAAAATCTAATCCCAGTATTTGAAAGCACAAACCTGTAATCCCAGCACTAGAAAGTCGAAGGCAGGAGTTCAAGGCTACCTTGAACTCTTTAGGCAGCAGCAAGAAGGGTCCTTACACCAAGGCAGAAAGGGTAGACAAAGGCAGACTCTCACCAACAGGAGAGTACCTGGCCTCTCTCAAAATGATTATTATGTATACTATCAGTTAAGACACTGTCAAGGCAACTCTCTGGCAAGCAAAGGGTAGTTATGACAAAGATGACAGGGTCATGTCAAACTGATCCCTCATAACCCCCAGAGGATCTTGATAATGGCTGGAAACATGTACTACTTCTTACTATCTATTATACACAGAGATATAACCTAGACAGTTTAAGCTGAACAGTGCTAACAAGAAACATATGGATTTATAAAACCAAGGTGTGGAATAAAAGGAGCTAAGAACACAAATCAAAAGATGAATGAAGATCTTCCATTTGTCAACAGATTTATTCATCTTCTTAATCCTTCCAATACAAGTCAAATAGCAACCATGAAACATAATTCAAGAATAAATAGATTACAAGAATGTCCCACCTACAGCCAAGGCTTCATGTGTCCCAGGCTAACTATGAATACAGCCGAGCACAAAACTGTATAGAAACTTACTCAAAACTTCACAACATTTTTGGGGGGCAGGGGTTACATCCATGGGTCTATGAAAATAGGGTGAAAAAAAGACAAATGGAATCCCAGCACTTGGGAGGCAAAGGCAGGTGAATCTCTGAGTTCAAGGCCAACCTAGTCTACAAAGTGAGTTCCAAGATAGCCAGGAAAACACAGGGAAACCGTGTTTGCGGGTGGGGGGAGGGGAGATAAAAGAAAAGGACAAATGAGAACCCCTGTGTGGCATTAGGAAGACAACCGACAACCATCAGGGTAATAGTTGGACAGCTTACATTTAGGATAAACTCATTGCCTTTCTCAACTGGAAAAAAAGCACAAGTCATACAAACTGCAACAGGACTGTGTCATCCAGAAGGGAGAATGGTTCTTTTTCCAAGAAAGCACACACAGAACAGAGCAAGTGCTAGCACTGAAAGAAAGCCAATGCACACAAGAAGCACCTAACTCCAAAGGAAAACTTCTATCTGATAAAGAAATTGAGTAGCAAGAGAAGGTAATCGGGAGAAGCTGCTAGAGCTCAAACTCAGGGCCTCTTACATGCAAAGCACAAGCTCTACTACCTAAGTATAAAATGTTTAGAATCCACAGCCAGACATCTTAAAAACAACAAAAGAATTAAAATAATTAGCTTAATAGAGTGTCTATATTACAATAAGCACAGTTGAGGAACAAATAAGTATAAGTTGTGATCAAGGAAACTTCCAGAACGCGATGGAAACAGAGGATAGGGGTAAGATGCTTGAAGAAAAGTAAATAAGTTCCAAAAAACATCCATCTAGCAACTTCCAGAAGGAAAGAGGGCATAAAAAAATTGGAAAACACCACCCGCTTTTTAAATACATTATGCTCAAGTTTATAGCAAAAATCCCACAAACCTTTAGTAGAAAACAAAGTCAGACTAACTACAAAAGAACAAACTCAGGTACAAACTGTCAACAGGTCCTGACAGATAATTAACCATCACTAAACTCTGAAGGAAGAATCTCAACTTAAAAGTCTGTAATTTGACAAACAGTGCTTGAAATTAAACACAACATAGACATATATAACAGTTTTAATACTAAAATGAATACAGAGCAGATGAATGACCAATGTATTGAAAGCAGAAAGAATGACCTAAGAACAAAAAGTATGACAATAATCATTAGTTACACCTATCTGATAAATGTGAATAGGTGAGTCTTTGATTAAAACACTTTCAAGTTGTTTAAAAGTACAACTAAATGCTGCCTAAGCAGATACGACTTAAAGCAAAACAACACAGAAACATTTAAGGGAAAAATAAACATTATAAAAGGTACACGTAACACAAAAAGCAATATCCAAGGACCACTCTTACCGCTGAGCCATCTCCCCAGGCCCTTGCTCCAACTTCTTGCAAGGACCACTTTTTCTTTTCTTTTCTTTTTTTGGCTTGGTTTTTCGAGACAGGGTTTCCCTGTGGCTTTGGAGGCTGTCCTGGAACTAGATCTTGTAGGCCAGGCTGGTCTCGAACTCACAGAGACCCGCCTGCCTCTGCCTCCTGAGTGCTGGGATTAAAGGCGTGCGTCACCACTGCCGGGCTCCAACGACCACTCTTAAAAGCTATAGATGGACCACAACATAGTTCTATTGATAAGGGTCTATCTGCTCAAAAGTATTATTGACCTTTTGCTTAATAAAACTTTAAAATAAACAAGTCTGACTGCCTTTGATAGTATGTAAAAAGCAAAAGAAAAACATTTTATTTAGCACAGTAAATATTCATTGTTTCTGAGTCATTGGAAGCCCGCCCACTAACCTAAAACATTTATGTTGAAAATAACGTGGCATTAGTGTCATTATTTCAGTTATTCCATGTTTTTTTCTTTTTTTGATGGCTGAAATGGTTTTTATCCAATAAAACTTTTAACAGACAACTATTTTTTATTTTATTACATTTTTGTAAAGTTAGAAACAAGCTTGCTTCATACAGCAATCCCAGCTCCCTCTCCCTCCCCTCCTGCCAGTCCTCCCAGCTCCTCACTCTCTTCCCCACAGGGGATCTCCAGAGTCTGTCATTTCCTTCAGGGCAGGGTCTAGGCCCTCCCCCAACAGTCTATTACATGATTTGACTAAATAAAAAAGACACTGACTGGCCAAAGTACAGACCTTGTTTCATTGGCACAAACAGGCAATGGACTCTTTCTACTACTAGGGCTAAGTCTACATAAATCACAAGAACTTAAGCAGCTGGAGCTAGGATAGACAAATGAAAGAGGATGGTGGGGAATCTGGAGTAAAGGATACAAGATTTAAGAAACAGGACAGCATTTTTCATTTAGCAACGTCTAAACGTGCAAAGGCCAACACACTGAATCTCAACTAACTACTTACTTTTTAATTTATTTTTATACATATGGTGAGTTGCGTGCATGAATGTCCGTGTACCACATGAGGCCAAAAAAAGCATCAGATCTTCTAGAACCGCAATAATATGTGGTGATTAGTCATTATTTGGGTGCTGGGAATCCAACTCAGGTCCTATTACAAGAGCAACAAGTATTCTTTATCCCTGAGACATCTCTCCATTCCCTCAATTTTTATAACAATTTCCTTTTAAAAGTATTCTGATTTCGTAAGTCTACTTAACTTCCTTATTTTACTACTGAAAATAACTGGTGGTCCGAAGACAGTTGAAAAAGAATTCAATTACATAGACAAACAACGAACTGGCAAAAACTCTCTTCCATAACGATTCCTCTACTTCACAACTGTGGAGAGTCACTTAACTACAATGTATCCCAATGTTCACCACCTTACCTGCTGATTCCCTGGACTCCCAATATTTTCTGGCCCATAGCTTCTCTGACAGAAATGCAGAGAAAAAATGGCGACACAACAAGGATACTAATGATAAGGAATCTTTTTGCACATGATGGACTTTATCACAAAAAGTTGGTTATCAACAAGCACTCGCCTTCTGTTATACCCAAAGCCAGGCTTTTCAGGCAAAAATTAAATGTTATTGAGGGAAGACCATAGACTTTTTTATTTTTTTATTTTTTATTTTTTTGGTTTTTCGAGACAGGGTTTCTCTGTGGCTTTGGAGGCTGTCCTGGAACTAGCTCTTGTAGACCAGGCTGGCCTCAAACTCACAGATATCCGCCTGCCTCTGCCTCCCAAGTGCTGGGATTAAAGGCATGCGCCACCAACGCCCGGCTAGACTTTTTTTTAAATAAGGGGTTTTAATTCCAGCCCATAGAAATCTTTTTATACTGCTTTTCAAAAGTCTACCCTTTCAAGTTACAAGAATCTTTAGAATAGCAAAAAAAAACAAACCAACAACAAACAAAAAAACCACCTCATTTTCACAAATGAGGACTGAAGACAAGAAGATATCAAACATAATGGGAACATCATGAAAAGCCAGTTCGATCTTTTCATGTAGTCTACTGGTCTATTCAAAAGCTACTAAAAGAATCATAACACCATTTAACATTACTGGAAGCAACCTGATTTTGGTAGTCTTTTTAGAGTACTATAAACTGTATAATTAAATTTTATGAAGCTATTTCTCCGAGTCTTTTACCACAATTAGTTTTCTATTACATGCTGGCTACATACATGTAAGTTTGGTGGGTTTAAAGAACATTAATCTTGGTGACTCAGTCCACAGTGTGCATGCTGTATAAGCATGGTGACCTAAGTCTGATCCCATATAAAAAACTGAGCATACCGGCACTTTCGTAATCCCAGAACCAGGCAGTTAGAGACAGGTGAATCCCTGGGGCTGCCTGGCTAGTCAGCCAGTTTAGCATAATCAGAGCCCCAGGTCCCAGCGAGAGAACCTGTCTCAAGAAACAAGGTAGACTGGCTTCTGAGAAATGATACCCGAAGCTAATCTCTAAGCTTCACACCCATGTGTGTGCAGATGCACACACAAACACTGCTCTTACCACATGCGGTAGGGAAGCTCAGACAAGATCACTTGATACTAGAAAAATGCTGGGCAGCCTGGCAACCTTGGGAAGGTTTGTTTAATATTAAAACAACATAAAAATCCCCTTAGTCTCTCTGTGGAATGCAGTTTGAAAAGACTAAGTCTCCTGTGTTCGTTTTC